TATTTCAAGCCCTGAAGGAAAACAGCCTCCAGCCCACATTGATGTACCCTGAAAACTATCTTTCAAAATGGATGGTGAAATAAGATACTTTCATGACAAAGAGCACCTTAGGAACTTCATGAATACCAAACCAGCACTACAATTAATTTTAGACAAAATCCTAGGAAAAAGACAACAAGGATCACAACCCCTAGCAGATTGAATTCATTGGGCCTGACAAGAAATTAAAAGCAAAGGGAGAGATTCCAACAAAAAGAAAAAGTCATGACAATGATAAGTCAATACATATCAGCTAAAATCCATCAATGTTAATGGTCTCAACTCACCAATCAAAAGAAATAGACTAGCAGAATGGCTCAAGAAGCAAGATCCAACAATATGCTGCATACAAGAAACATACTTAATTCAAAAAGAAACTCATAGACTGAATGTTAAAGGGTGGAAAACAGTACTCCATGTGACAGGAACCTGTAAAAAAGCAGGAGTAGCCATCCTCTTTGCAGATCAAGTGAATTTCAAACCAACACTGCTTAAGACAGACAAAGAAGGCCACTACAGCCTTGTAAAGGAAAGAGTCCAAGGGAAGGGATGACAATCATAAATATCTATGCACCAAACACTAGTGCACCCAACTATATAAAACAAATGCTAACGGGCATGAAAAATCATATAAGCACTAATACAATAGTAGTGGAGGACCTCAATATCCCAGTGTCACAAATAGATAGATCAACTAGATAAAAAATAGGTAACGAAATACTAGAACTCAATCAAACTCTTGCACAAATGAACTTAACAGATGTTTATAGAGTGTTCCACCCCACAAAATCAGAATGCACATTCTTTTCATCTGCACATGGGTCATTCTCCAAAACAGACCACACACTCACTCATAGAACCTACTTGGGTAAGGGCAAAGGAATTAAAGTTATCCCCTGTATATTATCAGACCATAGTGTGATGAAATTGGAGATAAATAGCGAAAGAAACAAGAATTTCATAAACACATGGAAATTGAGCAACACACTTCTGAATAACCATTGGGTCACAGAGGAAATTAAAGAAGAAATCAGATAGTTCCTTCAATCAAATGACAATGACAAAGCAACATATCAGAATCTATGGGACACAAAAAAAGCAGTCTTATGGAACTTCACAGCAGTGAATATACATATTAGGAAAACAGAGCAAGTCCAATTAAACAACCTGCTGCTGAAGCTGAAGCTTCCAGCAAAAGAAAAGCAAGACAAACAAAGCTTATACAAGGGAGGAAATTATAAAGATCAGAGCAGAAATCAATGCAATGTAGATTAAGAGAACAACACAAAAAAATCAATGAAGCCAAGAGCTGGTTCTTCGAAAGAATCAACAAAATTGACAAACCCTTAGCCAACCTTATCAGAAAAAGGAAAGAAAAGGCCCAAATCCATACAATAAGG